AGCGCTTCTTCAGCGGCGCGACCGCTAGCCGGGTGGGACGGGAGACTCACTGGGACCAGATCGCAGACTGCTGAGAGGGGGACTTTGCAGGAATTGGCCGGACAGGAGCCGAGAGCTGCTCCTCCAGCGTGATGCCCCGGGGTCCGCGGTGGAGAGCTGGGTGGCTGGTGGGATGTGTCAAGGACGGCTTTGCGAATTCCAGGAGAGGAAACTGGAAAAGGAAGGATGAGGGGATAAAGTCATGACAATCCCCGTGACTGACGTTTATGACCTCTTCCACTCTGCCACTGGCCATGGCTGGCAATGACTTCCCTTCTTCCCTGGCTGGAAGTGGAGCCATGACCTCTATGTGTGCCCTCATGGTGCTGCGAGGGCGAGGAGCAGGGCTGTCTCTGCCTGTGTCGTGGCTCCTGCAGATCGTTCCCTCCTTCCCTTGGCGTGTGGCAAGAGCGTGAGCTCCAACTGTGCTGAGCTTGGGTGGCTGGACCTCCTGGCATGTGCTGGGGCGTGCGCGGTGCTCCCCGGGTCTGGAGCCGGTCTGGGCCTGCGCGGTGCATCGGGGTGCTTGGTGGCTCTTGTGTTTTGCCTGCCGACTCTTGTTGTGGGCATCTTCCCCGCAACACCCTTTCCGGGACTGCACGTGTTCTCAGAGCTACGCAGATAAATTTGGCAGGGTGTAAAGACAAAGCACTGAAGGGGTTTGCGGGTGGTTTTTAAGGAGATGGTGGGGCACCAAGGGAGTGGCAAAGGAGAAGGTTCTTGCAACCCAAGGGTGTGGGTTGAGATGGGAGAGATGCTGGGAAGAGTGAAGAGTGTCCAACGGTGTCGTGCTTTGGCCGTTCAGGCTGTGAACTTAGAAAGGGGCAGAGATCCTCAGCCACCGAGATGTCCAGGTCCTTCCCTAGAAGTCACCCGAGGCAGGTGTAGATCAGCCTGAAGAAGACATGTGTCCGACTTTTCTGCCAGTGTTAAATCCGCTCCCACTGACAAACTGGGATGCTGTCAGTGGAGCCGGGGAAGAGGCTGCTGGGTTCTACGCGGGGCACGTTTAGGGCTGGATCTTCTAGTTAGGGAGACGTGGTCGTGGTTCTTTTGTGTGCCTGGTGTGTGCAGGCGTGGGGAGAAGGCAGTGGGTCAGTTTGGCTTCCTGCTGCGCGGAGCACAGCAGTGCAAGCAGCCTGCTCCCAGCGGGTACCTTCCCTCTAAGAGTATTTTTTGCTCTCATCATCAATAGTAGCATCCATTGTCACCTGTACCCAGAGACACTCTTTGATGAAGCATCCCCCAGCCTGCTCTAACTAGCCTGTTGTCAACAGGAATGAGATTATGTGAGAGGGGAGCTTAACATAAATTGCTCTTTCTTGGCAAGGTGAAGTCAAATAACAAGAGGCCCCACTAACCCCAGGTGATTGGGCTCTTTGTGTAGCTCCAAACATGCTCTAACGCTCCCAGCATTTAAAAATAGTCCAAGGAAGCCTTTTTCATTGAGGAAGTCTGATGATTGCAGCTCCCCCACCCACCATGTGGAGGTGGATGCACAGCATCCGAGAAGCAGCGAGGGGGTCGGATCCTGTTGGCTGCTTGCTTTCTGCGGTCCGGCGGGGCCTGAAAACCAACCTGCTCACGCCGCTCGAGCAGCTCGAGATGGGCCTTAAAGGGAGGGAGAAATCGCAGTCGGTGTCAGGTTGTTAGAAAGTGTTAATGAGAATCCATCTGAATTTACACCAGGGAAAAGTGCGGAACGGGATCGACTTTGTGCGGTTTGAACTAGAGGTGGGAGGAGAAAACGGGTCTGGGAGAGAGACAAAGGGAATTTTCTAGGGACAAACGCGCGCTCCGCGCATCCGATCCGGCTGCTGGATGCCGCGCTGACCGAGTGAACCGCAGCGGCGGCCGGCCGGAATCTTGGGCCATGCGGGGGGCCGCGGTCACCCCCACCCCGGTGTGATGCATCGCTTGCAGAGAGCGGCTGCTCGGGGCCGGGGTCTTCCAGCCCCAGTTCCCAACTTTCCTCCGCCGCACAACAAGGCGGCGATTGTCTGTGGCATCTGGGTTGTTGCTTTTGGGTCGCGGTGCTTTTTCTTTTTTGTTGGTTTTTTTTTTGTTTGTTTCTTTTTCCCCTTTTTTTTTTTAATAAACAACTTTCACCGCTACGTGAAAAAGCTTAAAATCGCTGCACTGAAACGAGGTGGTTGCTTATTTTCATGGCGTGGCGGTGGTTTTTTTTCCTTCCCCCTTCTTGTAAACACAACTTGCATCACCAGTACATTAAAACCTCAATGCAAAGGGATTTAGTTGTTTGTTTGTGGTCCTTTTTGTGTGCATTTGTGTTTTTTTTTTTTGACACCACTTTCATCAGATTTTCAATGCAGCAAAATCTTACCCCACAGATATTCGGGAGGGTTTATTTGTGATGTTCTTTGTGTGCTTGTCTTTTAACATGGCTTTCATCTTAAATGGGAAAAGAATGCCCCACCTTACCAGAGATATTTGAGGGTTGTTTGTTTTATGGTCCTCTTTAATTTTATGACTATAACAGAAAAAAGACCAAGTCCTAATTTGCCCTTAGGCTCTTTTATACCGAGCCGGCAATGTCAGAATGTCCTAAGTGGGGTATTTACAGGTGTAATTTACACCAGTGCAGTGTAAAGGTGCCTTAGTATAAATGAGGAGAGGGCTAAAAACCTTTTGTCTGTAGAGATAATTTCATATCTGATGAAAACAAGAAATATAAGGACCTGGAGTGACTTGGGTGGTGTGTTTTTTAAAAATAAAACCCAACCAAACAAAAAAGCCCCCACCTCTGGGCTAGATCCTGAGCTGTTTGCTGTAAGCTGGGACAGCACTTCTGATGCTTTCAGGGGAAGCCCACGCTTCTGGGCGTAAACTGGCACGTACTGGAGGTGCGCCAGTTTGTGCCAGATCAGACCCTCTAGACTGCATCCGTAGCAGTATGTAACCGTGCAGGATCTGGCCCTCCAGCAGCAGTGAGGAGAAGGTTGGCAGCGGGTTTAACTCTGAATTCACACCGAAGCAGGATACCCGATGGAAGGAGTCCACGGGCACGGCTGTGTTTTCCATTGCGCTGTCCTCCTGCTGGCATTTGCACCGTCCACGTCCAGTGCCCATCATCCCGTGCACTGCTCTGGCCTTCTCCTGCGGCCTCGGTGTAAGCCGCGGCGGGGTCCCGTGAACACACGTTGGTTTCACGCCGTTCTGAGTGAGAAAAGATTTGGGATGGATTCGTGCAGAGAAAACGCCAGGCGGATTGGATGCAGCCTACACCCTTGTTGCCCTCGTGAGCAAGTGCCATAGCCGGATGGGTGGACCAAGCTCTTGAAGCCATCTCTGTTAGTTTTGATGGGCTTGTTTGCCCCTGATGCAGGGGCAAGCAGAGGGGAGAATGTGGCTGTGCATCCAAATCTCCCCCTCCCCAGTTTGGCAATGTCTAGACTCGATTTATTTATTTGTTTTTAGCCAGAGCTAGCTGCTCTGCGGATTAATTCCAGTTAGATAACTGGTCTGGGTGCCAGAAGCTCGACGGTCCTCCAGGGTTTGTTCCCGTGTGTTAACGTTTGTGGCTTGCTAGGGTAATTTGCAAACACGTTTACTTGGAGTCAATTGGCAATCAGTTCACTGAAGTTAAAAAGAAAAAAAGGAGGAGGGGGGGAATAATCATACAAGCCTCCTTTGCAAAATGCTTTGGGATCTGTGTTATTGGCAAAAAGCAGAAAAGGAGAAGCTAGGTAGTGGAAAGACAACAAGAAAGGGCTTAATTCTCTCCCTAATAGAACAATCTAACTGGCAGGAGTGTGCCAGGGATCAATTAGACGATGTCTGCCCACAGCCTTAAAGAGCAGAACACCACAGCAAAGTTATATATTACAATAGTTTCTGCAGGTCCTTTTCTCCTCTTAGTTTTATGTTTTGAACACCACCTACTAAGCAGTTCTCTCTCCTTTTAATAATCCACCGAGTGAAGCAGTTTGTTGCGTGTTGTTTTCAAATTTCGGTTACGCCCGAAGAAAACCTGTCATTAAAAGAACCCATACAGGCCAAAATGCGTTTGGAGAAAAGCACAGAGGACCGTGCTGCTCATCTGGGTGGGATGTAAAGGGCCGCATCCTGCTCTGGCCCTGCTCTGTCAGAGGCAGAGCGATGTCGAACAAGGCTCAGCCCCTGTTTAGTTGTGCGAAGCAAGGTCAGGGTTGGGGTTGAGACGGGCTGGGAGCGTTGGCACTGAGGGGGTAAAGCAGATTTAAGCCCAGCCTGATTTTAGCTGATGTAAATCAGCGCGGCTCTCTTGGAAGTTGATGGAGTTATCTGGATTTATGCTGCTGGTGGCTTGGCCTGTTGTCTGCACCGATTTAGAGCTGCTAGAGATCTGGGCCAGTGAACCTGCTGGGCTGCGGGTCTTGATGGAGTTGGTCTAATTTCCTGTGGGGTTATTTTCTCCCGTTTTTAAGCACAGGATCCCCCATCTGTCTGTCTCTGCAAAGCTGGCTTTCCTGTCTGCAGGCCTGCACGGAGACCCTCCCTCCTCCTCCCCCTGCTTCTCACACCATCGACTGCACCATGCGTCCTTTTGTCCGTTTCCAGATCCTCCCTCCCCCTCTCGCCACGCTCGCTCCTTGCCCGTCTCTCCCTTTTGCCGATGTGGGGTGTCTCGCCCCGATTCTCCTCCTCCCTCGGAGGGATCGCAGCGTGCCTCTCCCTCGATTTCCACCCCCTTTCCTCCATCCCTAACTCCCTCCCACCCTCTCCAGCTCGTGTAACTCGCTTACGTTTGCCCTCATTCATGTGTATTCCTTGCCACCGTTCCCTTCCATCTGTCCCCAGCATGGAGCCCCCGTCCTTTGTCGCTGCTCTGCTTGCCTGACCCTCTGTGTCGCCTCCTTGATTGTTCCCTGTGGTGCTGGGCTCAGATCCCTCTCCCCCTCCACGCAGTCATTGTCCCGTGGCTTAGAAAAACGCCGAGCCCAGCCCTGACGAACGCCTACCTGAGGTCCTTTTGCAAAGGAGAGCGAGCCTTGGGCTCCTGGGCGGCAGGACGTGGGTCGCTGAGGAATTGGGCGAGCGCTGCTTCGGTCCGGGGTGATGCACAGGAGTCGTTCTCAGCGTGGATGCGTGTCGCCGACACCCCCTTTCTTTCCATGCGACACTCCGGTGATATCCCTGGGGAAATGGTGGCATCTCGGTTAATCTTCCTAAGATGGAATCTCCATCTTTGGAGCGAGCAGCATAGGAGCGGAGCAGGGAAATGTCTGCCAGGGATGGGGCAGGGAGAGCAGAGCCTGCCCTGGGGCTGCGGCAGGGCGCGGGTGACCCCTGAACGGCTTTATCCCGGCCCGCACAGGCTCCTGGGGGTGAACCTTTATTCGGTGGTTTTTGTCTGCGTGGTTTTATTCTACAGTTGTGTCATCCCCAGCACCATGAAGTCCTGTTCTTTGGGTTTCCTAAGTGCTAATAATACAACACAGTAGATGGCCATCGGTCCACATCAACTGTTTAGAAACTTTACGAAACAAAGCATTGCAAATGTACTTCAGGGTGCAGACTCAGCGGGGAGTAACATGTGAGCCGCGCCGGGCTTGGCAGGGGGTGGCTTTGGTTTGGATTTTGGGCATTTGCCCAGTTCCTCCTCTGGGTCAGATCTAGCATTTCCATTCCCCAGGAACATGAAATTAGTGGCTTAGAGATGGGTTTAGTGCGGCAGCATCGCAATGCTAAGTATTATAGGAAGTTTTTCAGCAACACAGAGCAAGAGACAGCTATTCTTCCCGTCCCACAAACGGGGGACTGAGCCTCAGAGAGCTGAAGGAGCTCTGAGGAGTTAAAAGTCACGCTGGGAGTCGACGGCGAAGTCGGGATTTACCGGCACGTGTCCTGCGCCGACGCCAAGACCCCGTGACGGGCGGTGGGATTGCGAAGCTGTGCCGGGAGGTTTGGTGTTCGCGCGGTCTCCTGCAGCTCGGCGAGGCTGCGCCCTGGAGCCCCTGCGATGCTGCGAGATGCGAGCGTGACCCGTCAGGCTGAGCATGCTTTGTGCAGCCGGAACTATCGGTGGTACCGTGCGCGGCGCCTGCCGCCGCTGCGAGCGCCAGGAGTTATTCTTGTCAGCTGTAGCGGCACGAGGCTCTGTTTTTATCGCTGAAAGGTGCGGGGTTCGATTCTTGCTAATGATACGGTGGTGGTGGCATCGTTAGCGTTCCTGTAAATACCCCGATGTCACAAGTGTGTGTCTCGTGAGACGAGCTGCAGATAAGTGGCAGCACTGAGTGAGTGACAGCCCTGAGCTCCCAGCTGGGAGAGATGTTGTTATTTATTAGGATCTGTATAAATAATAGTGTTCCAGCCCACGAGCCAAGGAATCTTGCTTTCTTGGTTGCAGAATATCACAGAATATCACAGAATAGTAGGGGTTGGAAGGGACCTCTGTGGGTCATCTAGTCCAACCCCCCTGCTGAAGCAGGGTCACCCAGAGCAGGCTGCACAGGACCTTGTCCAGGCGGGGCTTCAATATATCCCGAGAAGGAGACTCCACAACCTCCCTGGGCAGCCTGGGCCAGGGCTCCGTCACCCTCAGAGGGAAGAAGTTCTTCCTCGTGTTCAGACGGAACTTCCTGTGCCTCAGTTTGTGCCCATTGCCCCTTGTCCTGTCACTGGGCACCACTGAAAAGAGCTTGGTTGCAGGTTATCTTGTGTTAAAAGTGTGATGTTGGTGTAGTACGTTGAGGAAAACTCGCTGGTGTCGGATGGGCAGAGGAGAGGACAAGAGGTGGGCTCCGTCTGGGGAGAGGAGATGGGGTGGGGAGGAGGTGGGGGATCTCACAGGGGTTTCAGTGCCATTTCCTGATCCTTTTGTTCCATGAGCTCGGAGTCGGACACCTGAATCCTTGGGAAACCAGGGCAATGCGCTCGCCTTAGTCTGTCTGCGCTGGACGAAATGCGGTGCCCTGGAGAATCACATTTTTTAGTGCTTGGAGACCCGAGCTTAGAGCAAACCTCCCCGCAGTTCTGTGCGGCGACTTTTGGTGCCAGGCTTTGAAAATGCCTTCAGGCTCCGAGTAAGGCTTCTGGAGAGAGCGGTCAGAGGGACAGCAGCAGGGAGGGTTTCCAGAAGTGGTTTAGAAAACTTTGCCACAGTCTGTAAAAATATTTAGTTCTTTGATGGCATCCTAGCATCATCTAGGAACCTGGAGTCACACAGCTGGCTCTAAATCCCTCCAAAAACCAATTTGGAAGCCGAAACACGCTGAAAAGTCTCTTGCCTTTTTTGGAAAAGCAGAAAGAAGTTTTCCGAGCTGTAAGGAGCAGGGGGGAACAGGCTTGGTCG